ACTTACGTAATAGAAAGGATGTTGTATTCCTCTTGCGTCATTTAATATAATAGACTCTCGCTCTGATTTTGACAAGCTCATTTTACATCGGTTAAAGTTTTAATTTAGTTTTTTATCTACAGTCAAATGACTCAGACAAGCCCTACGGACAAGACCCAAGGGGTCATAGATGTTGAAGCATTGAAGAAAGAAATTCGTGAGCAAATTTTATCCGAACTGAAGGAACAAAAACAAGAACAAAAGCCAGAGAGACCAAAGAGAAAACTTAGTGAAAAACAACTAGCTGCATTAGCTGCTGGAAGACAGAAGAACCCACGTTTGCTGGCGAAAAAAGCTAGAGAAGAAGCAAAAGCAAAGGAAGAACAAAAGCAAAGGAAGCTGAAGCAAAGAAAGAGTAAATGGTTTATTTTTATCCAAACTAAATGTATAGACAAATACCTTTATCTGTTGCGTTCAGTAGTGAAAACCCTGACGTCAAAATAAAGGGGAACAGAGTAACGTTTAAGTTTCCAACAGACTGGATTGTGAACATAAATGAAGAGAAGTACATTGGCATAACATCTATGTATATAACACGTGCTTTCAGAAAGGTTGACTTTATACTTCAAGTCGAGATAGAAAATGACGAACAGTCTTTAAGCGCCCAAAACATTCACATATACAAATACTTTAAAGACGATACAACATTGTTGCAATGTATGATTTCATTTAATGAGATGTTCGAGAAAAAGTTCAATATTGAAGTACAAACTTTACAGCCTTTACGTGAGTTTCTTGCACAACTGAAGGAAGAAGGTAGTCAGCCACAACTTATAGACTTTCATTATGAATTTAATGAAAATGAAGATGGAACTCATGACTGTCAATTCATTGTATTCTCACCATTCAATGAAGTCGCTAAAGAGAAAAAAAATCCATTACGTATAAGATTTCAAATCTCCGAACCAAGTGATGATTTTAAGAATGTTTTCAATTATGATGCAATGCTTCCGAGGAAAAATGAATTTTCAAAGATTGTAACCTGGCATTTGGGATAGAAAGCAAGCAATACTTTACTCTAATATAGCCAAAGGCGTTGAAAATGAGTTCCATTGGTCATACAAGAACTTCACCACTTCCTAACCCTAAATACTATAAATTAACTGGCTTCAATCGTGAGTTTTGGATAGACATGTACTCCACTCATGACCATAAATGTCCAGTGTTCTTGCCTCCAGACATAAGGACTGTCTCTACATTGAAGCACAACTCTTAAACTCTACCATCGCAGTATTGTAAAATCTACGCTAGCTTTATTTTTATCACGAATGACCTCATTGGCTGACAAAAATAAATGACCTCATTCATTGACCTCATTCATGACCTCATTCATGACCTCATTCATGACCTCATTCATGACCTCATTCATGACCTCATTCATGACCTCATTGCTGACAAAAATAAGCCGCTAGCGGCAAGGGCGAAGCCCATGACCTCAGAACTTCAACTTACGAATAAAGCTTGTTTTAGTCGTTATTGAAAAGTTGAACTTTTCAGCAAAGCAAGGTTGACATGACTTACATAAGTCGAATGCAATCTCTTGACCATCATGAAGTGCTTTGTAAAGTTTCATTAAACTGAACTCAGAGTCTTTCATATGTTCCAACAGGTATGTGAATGTTCTTATCTTCATTGTAATAGCATTGTATAGCTTCAGGAAACATTTCATTAGCGGTTAAAGCAATAACATCTTGCTTCACGCCTTTCATTCTGCAGTGAAATGCAACTTCATTTAAATCGTTAGTGAGTAAGTCTATGTAGGTCTTCTTTCCACAGAAAATACTTTTATAAGCTAAACTTTGTTTTCCAGGTGTTATTTCTGCAAAGTCGCTATGAAATTGACCAAGGTTCTTTCCTATAAGTTCGCGACCATATCTCTTTTAAACTCTGCTGCTGCAAGCTTTTGGTATGTCTTCATTATATAAGTGCATACTGTCGGTATCCTGGTAAAAGATTTGAAGTCCCATGTCCTCTGCAGTACAGAATACTTCATTCATAATACGTTTTGACATAGACAGAATATTAACACCAAGTGGACAGAAGTTAAGTGTCTGCAAATGCTTTTCGTTAGCTTGAAAATAGTTTTATCTGAACCATCCAAACCTTCGAACTTCACTATATGGTTGTAATTTCTTATAGCATATCTTATAGCATCTTTGTCATTTACTATGGTTATTTTTGACTCAATAGGAGATAGAATAGTTTTGCCATAAATGCTGTTCAGAATGAGTTTTTATAATTTCTTGTAAGGGGTTTCTTTCTTTCTTATACTTTAACCTTAACTCAAACAACTTCTTTACTTCATCTCTTATTCTCATATCTCTGTTTCCATCGTAATAGTATCCTTGCAACACTTCACATTTGACACCTTGATATTTTATGAGGTCTTGTAATGTTATATGGTCAACATACATGAGACAGCAAGTGTTTGAACTTCTTGGAACGTTAAGTTCTGGATTTAGTTCAGGGTCGCAAACTATTAAATGAAAGTGTCTGGGTATACAATCTCTGTTATCTTAATGAGAACAAAGAAGCCAGACATAAACTTTTCACCAATGGGTTCCTTTTGGTCGTCATCGAATAAATGTCTCATGAGATACTCTGTGTTTAACATTTCTTCCTTCAATACTTTTGGAATACCTTCTAAAGTATAAAGTCTTGCTATAGCGGATGGATATAATGAAACAGCGTCGAAATCAGCAATGAGTTTCTTTTTGCTCTTTTGTTTCATGTTATCTGACAACATACATCTTCCACCTTGAATGCATCTCGAAATAAATTCTCTTGGTTTATTTGAGAGGTCATAAAGATTTCCATTCGGGAAGTATACTCTGTTCTCAAACAATTTGTTAGCAATAGAACAAATACTAACGTAGTCATAAACGTTTAAATCAAACTCTTTCAATAAGTCATTGCGGAACTTTACAAAACCTTCTTTAAAATTCTTACATCTTGTTTGCAGTAAAACGTGCTATATTTTTCTAAGTCGAAGTGGTTTTCATCTATTCTGCAACCTTTGATGGAATCTATGTTTTTCATGAATGTATCTGCATCATGGATAAACTTACATGCTTCAGAAATGACACCAGTTCTGTTGTCATTTGCTAACAAAACACTGCTGTAGTAGTTATATGGAAATACTTCTTTCGGTCCTGTTTTGTAAGTTAAACATAGCAGGAAATAGTTTAAGCTTCTTATTTATAACACTGTAAGAGTCTTTTATAATTGCCGTCCTTTATATAAGCCAGTTATTTGCATTGTTCGTGAACCTTTAATGATGGGAGTTCCTTTCACTTCTGTCATGTGTCTTAAGATGAAGTTTATGTCATAACTGAGGTTGTGGAAATATATTAAACTCTTGTCAGGAAGTCTTTCCAAAAATTCTGTTGCACAGTTTTGACCCCAAATGCTTTCACTAACTGAACCATCTTCACTGTCATAACAGATGTTAAAAGCTTTATGAAAGCCGTTGTGCTACACTCAAAGTCAGCAAAGAAAACGTGCTCAGGAATGAATTTACATTTAGCTTTATTTACTTCTTTTGACTCTGCTTTCTTCTTCAGTTGTACACAATACTTTGGAGCATATGTCAAATCTTTAAATGGTGCAAGGTTCTGTTTATATAAGTCAGTAGTATATGTGAAAAGTTCTCCATAAGAAATAGGTTCGAAATATTTGCACTCCCACAATGTTTTCATAACATCCCATAGCGGTGTTGTTCTATCATAACGAACTACATATTTATCTTCTCTCTTTGTATAAATCTTCATCTGTTTCTCAATGTTCATTCCACCACACTCCTTCAAGATTTCTATATAGTTTCGAATGAAATATGTTGTCATTGGTAATCTTTCATTTAGCATGTAGTGGTCTTCAACAAGAAGTAAGTCAATAGTTCTAACAGTTTCGCATTCTTTTGGTATATATCTCTTTATTTCATTATGTCTTGAGTCATTGAAATAACCAATGGTAACATTAAATGCTATACCTGTTGCGTCAGAAATTTCTTGTACTTTACTTTGAGGAAAGTCTCTAACACGAATGACTTCTCTCATGTGGTCAATAGTTTTCTTCATTTACTCCAGCCTGAATGCAAGCATAAACGAAGCAGTTATCTTCTGTCATAAGTGTTGCAGTTCTTTTGTTCAGTTCATTGAAGATTTGGTAGCGTTCAAGATTTATAGGTAACGTGCAAAGATACTTCCAGAACTGACCGCTTCTCTTCTTATAAAACTTCTTTTCACCATTATCTTTCCAAAAGCTTTCTATAAGTGCTGGGTTTCCTGTTTGCTTAAGAGCTTCCAAAATGGCTTTCTGGTCATTTGTCAGTGTGCTTTCATCTCTATATGGTCTCTTTTTTGGTTTGCCTTTCTTTACATCTGACATCGTTAAGCCTTCATATTCTGTTAAATCATACATCTTTATTTCAGTAAGATTCTTTATGTTTGTCAAGAAGAAGTCATAGTGCATTTCAACAATACCTGCAGCATTTGCTTCTATCTCTGATATAAAGTTCTCCTTCAAGAGCTGATGTAGTAATGTTCCAATATTATTGAGGTTTAACGTAGAACATTCATACTTTCCACCAAGTTTATAACATACCATCCATCTCTGTTGCGAGTTTATTTTAATTTCTCTAAGAGTCTCATGAAAACCTTACCGAAATGTTTGTGTAAGTAGTCTCTGTTTGGTTCATCTAAAGCTTCGATGTTAAAGTCAATGAGTCTATTGCCTGACTTCACATTTCTCTTCCTATTCTCTTCATCTTTCTTTAACCATCTCTCACCTTCTTTTGGTTTGTCGTCAATGGAACGAATGACATCGTTAGCTTTGCGAACTTGTTCTATAGCACTTTTAAACATCTCTCTTCTCTGTTGTTTCAGTGTGTCGTCTCTTCTTCTTGTTTCACCAACGTTTGCATTTGTTATGTCAAACATCTCTCTTCTTACTTCATGAGGTACAGCTCTTCTTGTTTCACCAACGTTTGCATTTGTTATGTCAAACATCTCTCTTCTTACTTCATGAGGTACTGAACGTCTATGATATAAGTCAATAGCAATGTCATTTAAAGGAAATGCTCTTGCATGGACTTCGTCCTCGCCGCGTTGCGGCTTTATGAACTCATGAATTCTATCATAACTTATTGCACCATTGTAGTCTTTAATGAAGTCAGCGAGTGCTTTTTTGTTTGTTGCGTAATGCTTTGCAACATCTATATTAGCTTCTGTAAGAAGTTGTTTTATTTCCGAGTGTTCTAACTTAGACAACTTCCGATACATCTTTAGTAGGAAATAAAAAATATTTTTTGAAAAAATTAGATTAGATTTTTTTTAAGTTATTTTTCAAAATAATTTAATATTTTTATTTTAATGAAACACATGCAAGATTGCAAGTTCTTTTCATACAATGCTCTCGCTACTGCCATCAAGAATGAGTTCAATAATGCTTCAAACGTTAATGTTATCTTTAACAAGAAGTTTGTGAAAGAATCTAAGTTTGGTCAGTATGTCAGACCATTAGCTATCGTCATTGACCGCAAACGTTATACTTCACAAGAGTTAGCAGTAGTTTTGAAACAAAAGGGTTTCTTCGTGAATGTCAAAGATACTCATTATACTATTATAAAGAACTCCAACATTGACTTCTTCAGTATTGCTATGAATCTTTCCGAACAGAAAGAATATAAGAAGGGTGAAACATCTGTGAAATATTATCCTTCATCTCTGAAGACAATAACGAACAAAGATGTTATACAAAAGTTCTTACCAAAGGTTGAAGAAGCTTCAATTGACATTGACGAAGGAAGTGAAATGGTTGAAGAAATAGACCCTGAAGCTATTTAAGCAAAAAATATATTTTTGTATAAAATTTCAAAGCATTGAACAAAAAAGTTTTTTTATTCTTCCTCTTTGAAGTTATCGAAATATTCTGTTATTTTTTCCTTCAGTAATGGTAAGTCTTCTTTGAAGGTAAGTATTGTGCAACCTTTGATGTCATAGTGTGTTTGAGGAAGAGTATTTTTGACAATTTCTTTTATTTGCTCATTCGGTGTCATTGAAATCGGTAAGTTTTCACGATAGAACCAGTTTCTGTCAGATTTATATATTTTAGCAAGGTCGTAAAAGCTTTTGTTGTTTCTTCTGACTAAATGCAACATAACCATATCTCTGTCTTCTTCATTCTCCAACTCTTCAGTATAAATCATATACTTATAGTTCTTTTCCTTTCCTTTTGGTACTGAACGCGGTATTCTTTTCTGTATGCTTTTGTCTTTGGATTCAATGACTTCATCTTTTGCTTGAAGTTTCTTTTCCATCTCTCCACGTTCTTGTCTGTGAATTTCGTCAAGAAGTTTACAAACATACCAAGCATAACGAGGTGAAACCCACATTGCTACAGCATTTACGAGAAGTCTATGAACATAATATCCTCTCAAACCGTTTGGCAATTTTTCACGATTTTCATAGAGTTTTGGCGACTGGGGTTTTTTACCTACTCGCTGTTCTTCACTGTTTTCAGAAAAAAGTATGTCTCGCTGTGCTTCATTTAATAGTTCAATAGTGCTTTGGTTCCTAAACCAGTCTTTAGGAAGTTTAGTATCTGGAGCATAACATGCTGTCAAAATACTTTGCATTTGATACATGTCGTCTTTGACAGAACGAATGAGACGTAACTGTTTGTTATATTGTATGTACTCGTATTCTTCATTTATGGCTTCATGAACGATAGCAGTTGTTGTGTTCTCTAATGTTGACATATCTGTCTTTACATACAAAATAAAAAAATAAATAAAATAAAAACTAACTTTATTTTTTTTGAGATAAACACTATTTCTCACAACATTAAATTTTATCCTGTATGAAATGACTTTAAAAAGATTATTGACTGACTTCGAATCTATCTCATTGACGCACTGACAGACCCTCAAAACTGTGTTGAAAGTTCTTTAAGCTTTAAGATTGAAGGTACGACGCATTTTGTCTTCACTTACGTATTGAAAGAATATGACCGTTATCATAACGAAGTGAATCAAACACTAATAAAATTTGTAGATAAAAAATTGGTTAACAATGAATATTTTAAACGTGAAGACCCAAACACTGCTGGAGATGATGAAGAATACAGACAAGTTATTGAAAAAAAATAACGCAAGATTAATGCAATAGAAAAAAGTTTAATGAATGTCTTACAAACACGTATGAATATCTTATGCAGTGGAAGCCAGATGGAAATAAATTTACGTCAAATATGCAATTTATAAAATCTTATGTCGACAGGCTACGTAGCACAGTGGTCTAAGGTGGTGTTATGGAGGGGTCAAGGTCTGTGGTTCGAACCGCGACAGCGCCGTATTTTCTTATTTTCTTTGTTTGTCTTGTTTGTCGTGAATAAAAAGTATCATAAAAGTGCTCTATCTTCCACGGGAATAAATAAAAAATTTACTTTATTTCTTCTTTATTTCTTCTTTATTTCTTCTTTATTTCTTTGTTCCCGTGGAAAGAAGGGTTTTTTGCCGTTTTTTCTCAGCCGAAATCAACGATTTTTTCATTTTTGGAATCCTTAGCAAATGAGGAATCTTTTCTCTCGTGGAAGCTTTGACCAAAAATAATGTTTAGGTGAAGAGGTGAGATGTCACCTGTTTTTTCACCTGTTTTCTCACCCTAGTTATTTTATAAACGTTTCACATGGTAAACGTTTATTTTTTTAAATTTTGTGAAAACTCAACGGTTTGACACAAGCCCTAAAATTATTTTACTCAGAATTTTGTTGCTAAATTCAGTAAAAAATAATGTTTAGGTGAAGAGGTGAGATGTCACCTGTTTTTTCACCTGTTTTCTCACCCTAGTTATTTTATAAACGTTTCACATGAATTGTACGATGTATATTTGAAATCCTAAACAATTTCGTAGCTTCTATTCTTCTTTTAGTATGTCAAAAGTTTTAACAATACCGAAGGTTCTTTATACTTCTTCTTGACGTCAGATAGAAGGAAATCTTCTGCTGTTGGATAGTTTTGTTCAGAAATTCTAACATGTCCATTTTATCTTCTGCTGGCTTTTCTGCTTCTTTCTTTAAGTCTGCATAGTCGTTTCTCATTCTTTCTATCTCTCTTTGACGGAGTAGTTATATTTCCTTATTGCTGCTTTACATTTTGAACATTGTGGGTTCAACTTTGCGTTATATTCTGAAACCTTACCTGCTAAAACAACTAAGGCGTCAATGGTTTTCTTCATCTCAAACATAGCGGGTCTTATCTGTTCATTCCATACCTTACCTCTTCTATCTTTATCTCTTATTTCCCAAACACATTCAGCAACTAATGAAACAAAGTTATCGTAAGTCTTAAACTCCTCAGATTTATATATGTCAGAAATGTTTTTATAAACCATGTCGCAATCTTTGTCCATAACCTTATGGTTGCAATGAAATCCTAGAAACTCATAGTTTACCTTTCGAATGAACTTCTTTATTTCTACTGAGTCAGTTGGTTTCACTTCTATTTCATCATCGAATTCAGGAATAGTTAGTTTTTGATGCTGAATTTCAGGTAGTTTAGGTAAATGGTCAATAATGTCCTGCATTTCATAAAGATATTCTTCATTTTCTTCATCTTTCGCACTACAGTCTAAATTACTTGTTAAAAGTTCTTGCTTTATCTTCTGGATTTTTGTTTCGAAAGTATATGAAGAAGGAATGAAGCTTTTCATCTCTACTAACATTGACGTAGGATTCATGACTAACGAGTTTGGTGAAGTTGTTTGAATTGTTGTAGAACCTATTGTTGAAATCATATCTTTACATACAAAATAAAAAAATAAATAAAAATAAAACTAACGTTATTTTTCTATCTTAAGGAAATTCATGAAAATTCAAGAGGTGAAAAAAGAGGTGAGAAAACAGGTGACATCTCACCTCTTCACCTAAACATTATTTTTTGGTGAATTCAATAAAAATAAATGGTTCATTTACTCACAATATTTTTTTACAAAACGACCCCAAACTTTTAACTTCTTTTCTGCAGCTTCAAATGCTATCTTAGCGAGTTCATATTCTCTAAATTCTCTCTTTAAATCTTCTTGTTCCCATTGGTCTAGTTCGTATGGAGAATCTCTATAACCATAATATATCTCACGTTCATGTTCTAATTGTTTTTCACACATTTTTCCAACTTCTTCTTCGAACAAAGGTTTAGCATTCTCCACTGTATCTTCGAGTTCTTCTTCATCTAACTTCTCATGAACTTTCTTGTCTATGGAGTCCATAATATCTTTGACATAAAATGCATACTTTACAGAGCACCATTCAGCAACAAAATGAACGAGGTTAGGATGTATGTAAATACCTTTGAATTCATTCATAACGCCCTTAGTAAGCTCATAAAATGCTTGTTTTGAGGTTGAGCCACTTTTGGCTCGACCGTATTCTTTCAACCAAAACTCAAGAATTTCCTGCATTTTAGCACTATTGAGAAATCTGTTTAAATGGTTTAACTTTCCTGCTTCTCTTGCCATCTTTGTTGCATTAATGTAACCATCCTTGTCTCTACGTAAGACTTCAATACCGTTATAAGTGCCTTTTGTGAATGTTTCGCCATTAGATTTGTTCGTGAATGTTTTTGCTTCGACTGACATTTCTGTTCTTACATACAAAATAAAAAAATAAATAAAAATAAAACTAATTTTATTTTTTCTATCTTAAGGAAATTCATGAAAATTCACGGGGTGAGAAAACAGGTGAGAAAACAGGTGAAATCTCACCTCTTCACCTATAATATATTTTTGTCTGATTTACATCCAACGAAAAAGTTTAGAAGAATTTTCTTATTCTTTCTGGCATGTTTTTATCTTTCCAGTACTCCCGCTCTAATGGTCCCAGATGAGTTGGTTTAGATTCTCTCAAGTTCTTAGATGGTATAACATCTTCAACGCCTCCTTCATATCTTACTTTATAAGTGTCATCGTTTGTGTTGTAACCAAGTATTTCAATAACCACTCCTCGCTTTGCTTCGTCAATGGTTTCAGCAAGTTTGCCATTACTACTTTCAACTAATTTATGTCGAGGGTAAAATGCTATGGAGTCGTCAGCAGCTTTTATAAGATATCCATTACCTTGCGTAGAGTCTACGATATAATAATTTCGACTTAACCTTAAACGTTTCTTTGTCAGTGGTTTGTCGTCAAGAACTACACGAACTTTTGTACCAGGAATGAGAGTAAATTGTGTTGAATTTCTGATATTTTGTGTTTGGCTTCGTTTCTTTTGTATATACTTTTCTTCT